TACAAAAATGGTGTATTAGAAATAAAAAAATTATTTTTTCCTCTGAGTTGACAGTGAAGAAATGCAGAAACAAACAAGATTAAGTTACAACACAACTATAACGCAGATAAAACCACATCACAACACTATCTACAGTCCCAAATGCTGTGAAGAAATAGTTTCAGTCATTGTGAATGGTCATTCTTTGTAGGATACTCCTCAAAGATCCGTGTTCTTTGTCGCCCCGACTGCCTTCATAAATCGCCACAGAAAATTACAAAAAACGACGCTATACGGTCAAAACTAAATAAATACAGAATAAAATATGGCTTAGCAATGTCAACCAAAAGTTTGTTCCCTGGAATACCTTCATTTGCGTGGATACAACGGTGAAGAAATGCTGTCGGACATTTACGTCCGATGCATCTCCAGCAGAGCTCAAGGCTATCGGATGTATACGTCCGATGCGTCCCGAATGAGTTAAGTGCTGACAATTAAGCTTTTCGAGCTCCATCTTTCTAATATTTTTTCCTGATTAATCACCAGGAACCCATTTGCTGTAAGGTAAAGAACGTTTCCTGTAGGCACCGAGGTTGGTCATTTGATAGTAAGTTCAAAGCCGAGAGCACTAGATTAGGAATTGTTCATCTGTAAGTAGCGCTCTTTAGATATTGCTTTCCTTCTTTTTCACTTTTTCTTTCTTTTTTTTTTTGCCTTTCAGATGCTTCTACCAAATTATCGAAAAACTTTTGGAGAGGAAATGAACTGCTACCTTGCTTTCTCACAGCCGTTTCCTATCAACTATGAGTTTGGTGTGGAACCAGGTTTTCTGTTTAACTCCCGATTCCCCCATCGGATGTTCCCTCTGGACTTGTGTCTTGATGCGGAGCAGAAATACGACTGCGTGCGGCACATGCAGCTGGGTGTGCACCCACGGGAACAAGTTCGGGAATGCGTGCGTTGCAGGTCACTGTCTCTGCGAAGGAACCCAGCCAAAACCAAATCTCCTCTGCTGCGAGCGTGGGAGCTCCGGTTTGTGAAGTCGTGTCTGTGCGGAGGCCACTGGAAGCTGCAGACATCGGCAAAGTCCATAGAGAAATGAACATGACTCATATATAGTTTTTGGCCTATTTTTTTCCACTGACTTCAGACTTTTTACAGCAATCTAGTCTTGGAAGGGTTAGATCTGCAGCTGCCAGGTCAAGGATTCTTGAAAAATGTGAAAACAGTGGTTGCAACAAATCAGATCAAAGTCTGCTGATAAAGAGCTTGTGTGTCTTTTCGTTTACTCTTTGGTGTAAAAATCATTGAATGGCTAAAAAGAGTAATTGAAGCACTTGATGTTGGTGAACAGTTGTTAACACTGTTAGCACTGTAAAATGTCTCGGCTCTCTTGAATGTCAATAGTTTGTTAAGAACCTCTTGATGAATTGCTATTTTTCAGTCTGACATGTACTGATTACAAGATTAAGGAAATAGACATTTGCAGGCCTAGGCGGTAAGAATCTGACTATGGAAAAAATCATGCATGGGCTTGAGCAAGTGCAGCTGAGAAACAAAACAAAAAAACAAAAACAAAAAACAACGGACATGACTACGGTGCTTGATGTCAGTATTTTTCCTTCCACATAAATGTACCTTGGCCTTAAAATTGTTGGGGCTCAGGACAGATGGATTTGGGAGGATGGTAAGTTGTATATGTGCAACATGAATTTTTCATCTCTATTAAAGCTTGTATTGACTGTTCTGGCTGTAACTGAGTTTTATGGTACCTGTAAGTTTTGAATAGTGAAACCAGTATATATATAT